ATATATATATATGGTTTTTAATTCACGATTTGATTATGATAGGTTTTAGGCTTCTAGGAATGTATCCCTTTTTTCTGTTCTTTCCGATTGTTAATATGAAACTGTAGTCTCTTAGCCCATTTTCTGCTGCTGTGACAGAGTACCACCAAGAGCGCACTATATAGAAAAAAGAACTTTATTTCTCATAGTTCCTGAGGCCAGAAAGTCCAACACCTAGGCTCTGGGTTCTAATGAGCCCCTTCGTTCTGCATCATGAGAGGACAGAGAGTGCCGCATGGTGGGAACACCTGTTGGGACCAGAGCTCATCTTTATGACCAGGCTCACCCTGGAGAACGGACCTGCTCCTCCAGTAATGGCACGAGGCAGAGGCAGCCCCCAAGGGCTGATTACCCCTCAGAGGCCTCACCCTAACAGCTGTCACACACAGTGGCAGTTAACTTTTGGAGGGGACCATCATACCATAACATTCTTTTTGTAGTATCACAAATTGTAATGCTCCCCTTTAATTTACAATTTTTGTTACTTGAAACTTCCCTTTTTTTTCCCCTTAGGGTCTCAATTTTGTTTTTTATTTGTTTGTTTTAAAATTATTCTTGGTTCCATTAAATTTTTCTTTATTTCTGCTCTAAGCTTTGTTATTTTCTTCTTCCTTCTCTATTTAGGTTTGGTTTATTTTAGTTGCTTTAGGTGCAAAGTTAAGCTGTTGGTTTGAGATCTTCAATTTTAATGTAGGCTTTTGATACTACAGACTTCCTTTTTAGGCCTGTTTTTCCTGCTTCCCTTAAGTGTTGTTTTGTTACATTCATATTTTCTTTTATCTCACTATTATTTTAGTAGCATGCAGAGGAGAAACAGTTCATGCTGTAGCTGGCTGGCAGGAAGCAGCAAACCTGCCTTCCATCTTTCCCTTTATTCCACACAGGCTACAACCGTATTGGTTAGTGCTGTCCACACCCAGGGAATGTCTCCCATTTATGCACATGCTGAATTATGCCAAACCAATCAGTGGACTAAGTTAGTAATCGCATACCCTTAATCCATATTCACACACCCTATATCCAGCCACCTCTGAAAAGCTCCACCTCTGAATGCATAAAACTTGCGGGGACATCTATATACAAGCCATGACAGACATCCACTGATAGTCTCATAGCAGCTCCCTTGTATGTGGCAAGTCACTTTTTTTTTTTTTTTTTTTTTTTTTTTTTTTTTT